CAGAAATACCCGTCTTCTGAAATTCATGAACTTTTCCAAATATTTTTGGTTTATTACTTTTAGGAGTTAAAGTGAACTGTTAGCTCCTGTGCCTCTTTTACTATATGTATATAAACACTAAAGACCGAAGCGGGAGACCGACATTTCCGTATTGTATAAGCCCTAAAACGTGGAGAAAATATAAAATTAACCATTCGTTAAACAGACCCTATACATTTGGGAAGTAAGAACTATATTTGCCTCATTCCGTGTGGGCAACGACCGTGATTTATTTACATTAGTTGCATTTGAAAGTCATTCTGTTTGGTTTGGTGTAGACGGAAAGCTGTTGGTCATATTAAGGTTTTGTAATCCATGTGGAAATGCCTCCCTCAAGACATTGTGATCACCTCCTTTTGGGGGAGGGTTTTGTTTCTTCGATTCTTACAACATAATGTAGATTATTTACTGATTATAGCGTTACTAGAGAATGCCCGCTTTATAAACTACGGAAAAATACAAAGGCGTTTAAAATTATGTATGTTTTTCACTTAACTCATTTAATAGCGATAATGCCAAAACATTATTAGTACTAATCCTAGCCACATAAAAGCAATCACTTAATCGCTAACTTTTAATATGGATGGTATCGAAGTTATATGTCTCGGATCACCAGTACCACCTCTAAATATCGTTAACATTATCTAATCAAACTGATAACAGTATACATCACTTATTTTTAAATATAATAAAATACGTTATGAGTTATAGTTGTCAAGTATTACATGGTTCAGGACATTGCAAAAATGCCTCCTACGTGTAAACACTGTGGCAGTTTGTTAGACAATGGTGAAAATACTATAATTAATCCAAAAAGTGAGACTCGGGATGGTAGTTGGTGGTGTTTTGGTGGTATATGTGCGAAAGATAATGCGGCCGAAGTACAGGAAACCATAAACGGTGATGCCTCTGGACGATATGTACGAAGAAAAACTATACACTTTGAAACTGATGTTGTAAATACTATTAGAAGGAAAAGTATGAAGACGCATGGCTCTATTCTCAAAACAATGGTACGTTTTATCCGTTATCCAGAATATAAGAACTTCACATATTTTGCATACCAGGGCAAACTTTACAAAAAATGTATTTTATTTTTGAAATAAATTTATGAGCTTCATTAGTATTGGTAAAAATATATAGAGTCGGTTATCTTCGTTATTTGAAAAAGGTTTTTTTGCTTACATATTATGGTTAATCTTCCAGTTTCACCGCAAATAGATCCAAGTTAATTTTTTTAACTAAATGTAATATGTGTTTTCATGTTTGGATTCATAGAAATTTAATAAAAAATTAAAATAATAACTAATGCAAACTCAAGATATCTTTGAACGCAGTGATAATTTTAATGAAGAGTAAGTACAAGTATTCAGAATGTTCTTCAAGTTGACAGTAATCCAACTGATCGTTAAAATGCCAAAGAGCATTTTCTACAACTCGTAAGGGATTTAGCGTATCTCTTCAATTCTTCCAGGTTGGTTGGTCCATTTTTATAAACCTTACGTTTCAAATGGCTGCACAAAAAGGTCGAGCGGCGATAAATCGGGAAAACGAGAAAACAGCGGCAATAGCAATTTCATTACTTAATAAAAAAGCAGATAATTTAAATTTCCATCTATGAAAAGTGGTTCAATTATTTGATAAATCAACAATGGGGGTCCATACATTAATTTTTAGGGATTCTGATATGAACTTGTTATATCCAGTGCGGTTGACTCTGGACCCGATAAGACAATAATTGTTGTCATTGCAAAAAAATGTGGCTTCATCCGAAAATACTATGTTGTCAAAAAAGTCAGGATTGATTATGACAGTTTCATAAAAGTATCTACAAGTAATTTGATAAACGGAATTTTGTAGGGTTTCAATTTTTCCAATTGAAAAATGTTACGAACACCTGAACACACTTGAGGATTTTCCTTCATGACTAACCGTTAACAATACCCTGGAGTTTTTTTGTTACTAGATGATTTAAGGCAAATTTTTAATGTCATGAATTGCTTCATATTGCTGAGGAAAAATTTACTAATATCGTGTTTTGGATAAACATTATTGAACAAAATATGAACTTCTTCATATGACTGCTGCCTGCAACCATACCCACGCATAGTCCGAGTCTCAGTTTGTTCTAATACGTTCAATGTAGACGTTATTTAAATTAATTAAGTTTTAATAAATAACTAATGTTAACATCCGACACTAACGAACTGTGAAATAAGCTGATATATTTTCATCAGGTGATGACCACATCATTCGAACTTGTTTTAATTTTGCATTATAGTGTTTTCATTAAAATTATATAACTTTAAAATCCGTGATTTTTTTTGTAGTTTTTTATTCTGTATCCAAACGTGAAAAAAATATATAAAAAGTGTTTCATTAAAAAAAAAGTAAAAAAAAAAACTGGAAATGTAAATTCTTTCCCTAAAACCACACACGCTTGTAAATTAAAAACGAATCGCTGTACATTGTTTTTTTTTTGTAGTAGGGGAAATGGGACAAGATGGAGTGTATAACTTTTATTGTAAATTAAAATGAAAGTTTTCGAAAGCAAACATGTAATCAACCACCTGCAATCACTAATTTTCTGACTTACAGTGGTTAACATTATTGATTTGAAAGCGACGTTCAATCAGCTTTAGCCCTCCAATGTGCCTTCATATCCTCATGTCATGTTAGAGTGTAACGACCCCTCGATGAGCAAACGTATTCGAAGTTGACATAACATTATCAACAAACCCATGATATCATTCATAAGTCATTAAAAACAACCCATTGTAAATCAGAAAGTAAAGATATTAATACATAACCCGTGGTGAAACAAAAGTCACCAGCTTGCATATGTTTTATACATTGTCAAAAATACTTGCGAAACAATTTTCTAGTAACCAAGTGTAATAAATCAACTGGACAGTGACACAAATTAAATTTAAATTGTGTCTTGGCATTTTTGAGTGTCGTACAAGACTTTTTTTGTATATTTTTTCTAGTTTCTCTAGATCTATAAACTAAGAGATTGTAGTTTTCCCTATAGTTATTTACCATAAAGTCGAAGATGGTTTTTGAAAAAAACCATAAATTACCATAAATTCATTACAAAAAAACCGTTTCATCGTTGTAAAGTAAATTTTAAACAAAAAGTAAAATGAGAAAACTGTTGTCTTGAAGGTTCGCAAACATTTAAATACAAGATATTATACAAAATGTGTACGATGCGGTAATTTTTAAAAATATAAAGATTTATACAGTTCGTAATCTTTTTACTTCTGGAGTGCAAGTAAGTTAGGTAAATATTGTAATAGTTGGATATACGCTAATCAAAATTGATTGCTTAATTCACACCAACAATTTGATGATGTCATCTCAAAATGTTTCTAGGTAAATCCAATCTAATTTTTATAAAATAGTATGCTTCTATTGTATATTTGGAGTAACATATTCCTCTACATAAAGTTTGATAAAGTTCATTTGTAGTTTTATTTTAGCGTAATAAAAAATAAAAGAATAAAATATTCACACAATCAAATTTTATTTTGGATCTAAGAGACTGGACTGATTTAATTGAGATTAATTCAGGAAGATCTGTCTAATTAACTTTTCTTTCATTGATATAATTATAACTCTACTTATTGTAGAAATTACACTGTGGAAAATACTTGTAGAATATAATTAATACTAATCACGTATTAGAACAATTTTGGGACACTTCTTTTGCATATTCTTTTGCTTCTTCATGCATTTTGACATTGTCGGAACACTTTTGTGAAAAATATTTTTTTTAAGTTAAATATTTAACTTACAATACCATATGTGAAATATTGACCAAACTATAATTGGACCAACTAATGGTTCACAATGGAGTGTGCGAAGGTTGAAGTTGACTGTCCTTAAATATAGTGGTATAGTATTTTTCTTATGACAATAGTCATTTTGAAACGCTTAAGTGTCACAATGACATAAATGTGACTTACGTGTTGTTTATATTTTTTGTGTGATCCCAAAATATTCTGTTGAGATGCCTCCGGTCTATAAATGTGTTCAAAAGGAAGGAGTTTACTGAGGTGTTGCGTGGGAATTAAGAACAATTCATCAACAACTACAAATATAGTGAGCACAAAGACAGAGCAACCAGAAACTACTGCTGAATCTCCGATTGAGACTCGGCCTTCTATTCGAGACTCCAGTGCAGACCGTGACCAAGTGATTATGACGGATGTTAAAATGAAAGTGCAGATCAATGAAACCAGAGAAGCTAGCACTTCTATAGACAAACACCTTATCAAACCTAAACGTACTCTAAAACGTTTTAAATCTGGATTGGGATACTCGAGCTCTCAGATTGAGACGCAACCTGTGAGAGACACTACACACAAATCCGAAGATAACGACACTCCAGTGTTTTCCAAAGTTCCAGAAGACGAAACTTTAATTAATGTTATTAAGCAAGCACCAAAAAAATCGCAAACTTCTGATGACACGCCTTCGGTAACTGGGCTTACTTTTACAAAAGAAAGAGAATCTAAAGTGAAACTAGGTCCTACCCTCACATCAACGTTCAAGTCCGATGAAGACTCAAAACCGCAAATTTCACATTATAAGAAAAAGGTTTTAGTATTTACTTAAATTTTCACAACTTACTGATACTCGTATGAGTGGCAATTAATAAAATGTTTATTTTATATTTTTTCATTGAGTTTTATAAAGTCATAAATATAAACTTAATAGCACTTATTAGATTGATAAACCGTGATAATAAAATGCGCAATGTTGTAATGAAAGCAAAGGTGTATCTCACTTCCAACAATTTTTGCCATGTACAAAAATTTACCCTAATATTAACATCGATGTTTTATTATCATGTTAAAACCACCATAATTAAACTAAAATGAACTGTTATATATACAAATGATTTAAAGCATTTCAGCCATTTCTCGAAAATACATTAGTTGTTTCTGTTGCAGAGAGGTCCCCAAGAAGTGAAGTACGGTTTTTTACTACCACCATCGCGAAGTCCACCCAAGGTAAAAAATATGATAAGCAGAATTTAGAGAAATTACAGTTTAAATCTATCTTAAGTATTTTGAATTTTTTTCTTTATGAACAAACAAGTTGACATGTAAAAACAAACAATTATTTCTAATCAGTAACGAAAATGTCTACATTTAATAACTATTTAATGCTTGCTATTTGTTCTATAAATCGGATTTTACCTTTCATCCACACAATTGTGAATCATTTTGCTAAACACAATTTTTCTTTTCAGGTGTTACTAGTTTTCTCTCAGTCAGATACGGTCTCGGATACTCAAACAAGGGCAGCTGAAAAAGTGGGATTTGAAGTTACTCACGTAACTAATGAAGATGCCGCTTTAGAACAATTTCAGCAGAAAGCACACGATCTTGTTATAGTGGATACTCGAACACCGAAAGCAATCGACTACACTACATTATGCCGGTATGTGATTTAATAATTATAAATTGATTCGTAGCAAGTAAGCGGAAAATCAAAATTTATTCGTCTTTTATCAAGTCCAAAAACTATAATATTAATAGTAACTAGTTAATAGTTTAATTGATGAAAAATAATTTTAAAATTTTAGTCGTAGATCACAATGGTCGTATTGTTTTAGCAATATACGATACGAGATTTTTTCATCAGCGAAAAAGTAATGATACGAACCGCTTCATAAATGTCAAATAAGTCGAATTCCAGTGGGATATAAGAGATAGAGTGGTAACTTCGTTCCATATAACAAACTTGGCTTTTATAACTTTCTTACAAAGGTACAGTGATGAAAATTCGATGCGAAGAGGAAGGTTACAATTCCTACAACTACGTAGTTATTAATGTGTAGAAACGAGGGATGCAAATATTTCATCTGATTTTCAACTTAGTTAAGATTTAGGAGCTTTCGAGAAGTTTTAATTAACAAGTTTTGCAGAAGTTACAATATGATACGTAGACATTTTTCGGGGGGTATTTTGGTAGACATTTAGCAAATGTTTCTACTTTGAGATTCAATAGAATATTATCGTTTATTTTTTTGACTTTTGCTCCCATCAAAAGCACAGATGCTAAATGAAAAAGAATGCATTACAAGGAAAAAGCCATTTTTGTAGAGTATGAATTACGAAGGAGCAAAAAATTATATGTAAATATAAATAAAATAAGGGCACCATGTATCCATCGTATTGTAACTGTAGCGTGAAGTTTCTCGGAGAGTTTTGTTTTTTCGTGATACTTGCATAAAAATAATTATCAGTGACTGCTTTATGATTATTTCCCAATAAGTGATAATCGTCAGAGGATTTTATGATTACCAGAAATTATAGATAAGATAATAGTAAATATGGCAATTTTTTAATTACTTGTTGCACAAAACCTTCTAAGAATGAAATGCAGTTATTCGTGTTCAAAGATATTGCTTCAAATTATTGTAAAAACCTGTTTTTTTCAAGAGTAGTTTTTTTTCAGAAATTTTTGACAAAATATTTATGATCTCCATTGAAACTAAAAACATGACGGAAATTTAGAAATATTACCTTTTGGCACAATTTTACGTTAGTATTATTCATTTTCTTAAAATTGTACAAAATAAGAACACAAGTAAAAACATATTTCAGGATGTTGTGATTACCTACTAAGATAAATTTATGTTCCTATTGTTTGTAAAAATATTCTTAAAACGTACCTGCATCATTTCATTTTCCAAGAAAATTTTTAACCGGATGTATTTGACAAAATAGTTACTCATCTCTGAAAACATATTTTTTATTGGACGATTGACAAAAACATTTTTTTTATGTTTTATATACCTATACATGTATATTCTCCTCGTATCTAGAAACAGTTACTTGTATTTCAATGTTCTTATTTTGTGGAATTTATAAATTTTGTTAGAACGTGTAAGGGCTAGTTTAATATCTTATTTTGTTACTCGGACCCGGCTATTTTACAGTGTAATAATTTTCTACCTACTAAAGCAGCATTATTAACATATAACATGTCTGTAAACAACCCTCTGACAATGGTAAGATAGATCAAAAGATAATTGCAAAGGCTTTTCAAGCTTGTCTTTTGGATCAGTTAATGAAGAGTACAAATGCTCAAAGCAGATCAAAAGCAAATTCGTCGTCTTTCTCATCGTGCGACAAAACAAGTTGTCAGTTGAATTCCACATCTTTAACGGTTACGGTCGGAACACCGGAGTGTCATCCCTATAGAATGTAATCTCCTCACATGTCATTAGAGTATTGAATTCCTGTCGGAAACGTTCGAGCTTACATACGCAACGTCTTAAGAATAAACGTTTAGTCTGAATGTTACAGTTGGGTTGGTTCGTCGATAATAATAAGCACAATAACAGTTCAGTGGTTTGCACTGACATAAAAACTTGTCACTTGTAGACGATGCTAATATAAAATGTTATGTCTTAAACTAAATGATTTATTTAAGTTACATTAAACCATCGTTGCATTATCATAAAATTTTATTTCCTGTAAAACCAAAAATTTATAACATTATCTGGAAATATTTTTGATATCATATTTGTCAACTGGCAAAGACTGTGTAACTGCTTTACGTCAGAATTAATTTAATATTATTAACAAAAATTGAAATTTTAAAACAAACAGTATGTGGACAGTCTACCGTAGTCACTTGTGTAAAGCGTTTAAACGACTCTTGTATTAAATGAAATATAAGAACTGTTTACTTCCAATACAGTGGATACTAAAGGAGTAACAATCAACATTTGCACGAGCACAATGAGAGAGTTAAAGCGAGAAAATTTAAAATTGATGATGAATTAAATATTTACCATTTTTCATTTCACTGAAATTTTCTAGACAATGATATTGTGTTTCGAGATAAAAAATGCAGTCCTAAGGATTGCTATCAACATTATCAAATCATTTCTGTCTCCGGAAAAAATATAACTAAGGCTTTAGTTTACGTCCCATTTATTCCACAACCCACAATTTTATCCAAATACGTTGTGCCCCATAGTTTACATTGTTTACACAATTTGATATTAAGTAGAATATTACATTTCATAAATAAAACACATGAAAATATTATACAACAGTGACGTCCTATACGAAATTAGTTACGGCTAAGTCATGGAAAAACACATTATGTGGTGAAACAATACCAGATAAAATTGTAAATTGATTTTATTTATTTATTTCTTTAAGTAAAATTATTACAAATGACAGAAAATTAAATACACAATCAGATGTCAAATTATAATCCAAGGTCGAATATTGTAACTAACAAAGTTTTTCCCAGTACGTAAATTACAACATAAAGAGGTCCTAACCCCCATGCCAAACTAACTACACAGCTTTTTAACTAGCAGAAATTGCTGCGGTTACGAGAAATCAAAGAAATAAAAACATGTCATGTAATTCAAATCAGATGATTAATCAATCAAATCAATCAAAAACTGACCAGCTGACTTCGCTGTTATGCGAAGGACTCAACTTCACTATAGTTGATTTCGACTTACAGCATATTATGCAGTGTTTTGGGAGCGTGCTTGATTATGATCTTAATTAACAGCTGGTTGGACTAACTGTTCCAGCCGTAGGAGTGTGATAATGATGTAATTAGTGTGAGCATGTTGAAAAGTGCCATATGATCGAAAAAAGGTCCTCTAGTAGGCCATGAAATTAATTTTTAAAATAATGCCAACGCATTGCTTGTTCAGTTTGACAGTTACGGTCAAGTAACTGTCAAATAAAGTGTCAAATTGCTGCAATACCAACATTATTACTTTAAAAATAAATTTCATGACCTACTAGTGGACTTTGTGTACTTCCCACTTTATCGTCCAGTCATGCTTATCCCTGGTTCAAACTTATTCTTTTTTAGTGCGTATATCTGGATAACATTTGTACAAAACTCAGCAGCTCACATGTTTTAGAATTATGTTCTCCTAGAGCTAATTGAAAGTCTGTATATTAGTAGTTTTTAATGTTAAATACAAAAAATCTTAATGTGAAATTTACTGCCCATTGTTATGTTTATCTTTACCACTTTATTGTGATTAAAGTTAATAACGTATTGTAATATAAAACTTTTTCTTAATAAATCTTGATGAAAATCTAAGAAGTAAACAAAACGGACTCTTTTATGTCCAACTTAAGTATAGAATATTCGCCAAGAGGCTTAAAGTATTAACATATTGTCAGCTAAACAAAGACTTGTTCGACCAACTTCCAATTTTAATGAAAAAAATGATTGGTAATTTTGCTCTAACGCATTGCTTTAGTAGTAGTATACATGCAAGTAACTTCAAATAAAAAAAGCCTCTTATTTTTCCTTACTTTAACGTTCTATATATCTGCACTTTGTAGTACTGTCAAATTCTAAAGTCGTAACTCACACTGATTTGTCATACACGAAACATTTTCTACCTAGAAAATAATAATTACCTCTGTTATAAAAACTGATTGAAACATGGTTGCCTTGATATTGGACTACGATATGAAGATCAATAAACATATAAAATGTGACTCATAAAGTCATTTAATTTGTACAATCACATTTTTAAAGATGATTCCATTAAATAGTTATTTCTAAAAATATTAAAAGTAGGTATTTATAATTTATGAATTTTTTTAATCATAAGCTCATAAGCTGCTTTCTTTATATGAAAGTTTTGAAATACGTATACACATATCGAGTGTTCAGTTGAAAAAGTCATCGAGTTGGCCTTGATTTTTCGTAAACAGTGTGAAGTATGTCTACAATTAACCTAAAATTTGATCGATGACAGTTGACAATGCAGAAATATCAGTTATACACAACAGTATGGATTAATAAAACACGTGTGTTTTTCGCTACGTTCTATCAAAATGGCAACGTCAACTTAATGACTTTTTCATTTGAACGCCAGTTACGAATGTTAAGAAAATCTAATACGACCCGAAAATTAGGTCAAGAGTGATGTGTGTCGTTAAATTATATCTAGCAGGTGTACCTATATAATCCGTACACAGGAACAAGTTTGAATAGTCTTTAATTAGGTTCCGCCAGCAATAAAGCTAAGAGAAATTTTCGAACATCGTTATAAAAAAAAAATAAATAACAAAGTAAACGCTGGGTAGCCATTATTTACACCATACTTAGTCAAATTTACACAACGATTAATTAAATATGAAAATGAAATCTTGTAACGAATTAATAATGAATTTAGTGTAGCTGTATCTAATCTATGCCTGAATTCAGAGTGACAGTATATACTTGTTTAGAGAAAAATAGTAGTACTTGTTTCTATCTTAAATTTAACTAATTTAATCTCTCTTAAATTTAGATCAAACAAAAATTAACAATTACATAAAAAAGTTGACTTTTCGTGACGCACTTAACAAAGATTCTTTAGTTTTCATTTTGATCTGAATATGATTTAAAGTACCTTATGTATTAGAGTTTGATGTTATTTTCTTAAATCCCACAATCACTACTAATAAATAATACATTGTCACTGTGGAGGAGGCTTTTGCTGAATCGAATCGCATGTAGTAATTTCATAATTTTACATATAAATCTATTTATTCCCACCAAAATATTAATGACGTCATCCACGAAATTATTAAATAAATCATTCTTGAAAAATGCATTGACTATCTTTTAGAGATAATCAATGCGCCGCGGCATCTTTTTATGCTTGTAAAAACATATTTCTCATCCCAAAATAACTTAATCAAACATCAAATTGGCTGTTTATTTATAATTTCTGAATTACCTAATTTTTCTTCACCCCAATTAAATTTCCTTGAAAAAGTAAAATACGTTCTCAAGAAGTACAAGATGGGTAATATAAACCGCACTTTACTGCCATGAACTAAATGTAAACTCCAACTCCCGCTTAATTAACAGCCTATAATCAACTTAATGATCGATCTGTTAACATCATTTACGTAGGGAGCATAATTCTGACATCTCAAACAAACATCTTTCGATGCTATTTACCACTGCCAAGGCAGTCATTTCAATTGTGTTCTTGTTGGTTTGCGGAACGTGCAACACTCCTAATCTACATTAATTATTTTAACAAATGTAGAATGTCGCTTTCCTACGTTATTCAGCCGTAGCGTATTTCTAATTTTGGAAAACTACGTTGTCGAATAAAATACGTAAATTAATACCAACAAATTATGCAAATTATACACTAAATTCATTAAACGTGGTTAATTTGATAAGAAGCTACATACTCGTACGACGCAAGGACTAATTGGATCAGTACGCGCCCTAAATTCTAACCGTACATCATGTTTTAAACTTTGTTTTACTATTTAGTTTCACAAATAAAATTTTATTCAGTTAATCAATTAACCAATGCACTAATGCAGCTTGCAGCGACAAAAGATATCAGCATTTTTTTTATATATGCTCAATTCAGTTATTATCCATTTATTATTTCTGGTATATAATAATTTCATTCTCTTCTTTTGAATGAAAATTCGGAATTCAAAAGTTTTCTTAACCAAGCTTTCGTTCAAAAGCTTGTATATTGTTTAATTGTTGTGTATAACACGTAGGGAAATCCTCCGCATTTCCTTTTATTTTTTTTTTTTTTTTTAAGAAAATATTGAAATGTATTTAGAATTTGGCTTCATTTTTGATCAAATCACAACGTATAATTAATCTGATAAATAATAAATAAGAGGCAATGTTTTATCGTTAATCATATTTTCGCCGGCATTCACTGCAGAAAGGCCGGGTGTCCAACAACGTTCACTTGTTGCTGTATCGATTGTTTTCGGAGCACGATTCTCCCTTATCCGGCGAAATTACCAGCCGGATCTTCATCGAAAACGTCGTTCTCTTCTTCATCGTATAAATATTTCACGCTTTATTATATATGCAGCAAGCTTAATGGCTCAAGCGTCAGTATTGAAATTGACCTTTTTATTTGGTGTAATTGTACATGTCAGAACGAACAATGGAAAGAGAACAAAAAACTCCTGGGCATTATTAAAATATAATTTTCAAGTAAGGAAGTTGATGAGAAATGTATATTTGTTACATCCAAAATTGATTTTTTGTTTAAAAATTTACAGGGTGTAAATTGCATGCGTCTGTATTAACTCTTTCATTGCAAATTATGTTATTAATAAAAACTAATGTTTTCAATTTTAGCGCGTAAGAATAAATTAATGTTCAAACACGTGGAAAATCAAATTTACATCACTGCTTGCAAAAAATATTCATAAGGTTATTATGTGTGTTTTGTTTATTAAGTTTTTCATTGTTTAAAATACTGAATCGTTAAAACAACAGTAATTATGTAGGTACATAAAAACACAACATGCGGTCCTTTTTATTTATTGTAAATATTTGAAATGGCATGTTGCAGTTTTTGACGAGATTAATCTGTATCCATTTTTTAAGGTATCTTGTGTGACCAGTTCTAAAAAATAAAAAAAATATGAGAAAATTTCTGGGCGAACTGTATAGAAATGAAAAAAAAAATTAGAATTTGTATGTTCAGTCGATTAGTCTTCGGATCCCTTTTTTTAAAACTTAAAAGTTAGTAATTTACAAAATACAAAATTGAGTACTTAGCGGCAGATATTTCTAGCACATCGTTTGTCAAGGTTTAGTTATCGATTGAATAAAAGTTATTACAATGTTCTAGATACAAAATGGTTTGCAACTTGAAGCCTTCTGATTACAACGTATTTGGAGTATGTTGCATGTTATGGTATTTAAAATGACATATGTATATTTAAAAATTTGGTGGAGGTGCCGGTTTAGCTTTCACAACCTAAAACGAAAAGTATTGCTGACCTCGTAAAAATATACCTATGTATTTTCACTATTTTCCATATTAAACCCGGTAAATAATTGTAAATTAGTAGAACAAGTGCACAGTTTACTTATCAATATTTTGAGATGACATGACGGTATTGATGCTTTCAAAGATATTATCAACATAAAAATCTGATCAATGATTTACCAGATTCAGGTTAGATAACCTTAAAGTGAATTGCATTTATTTTTTTCCGTGCCTTTCTTACTTCTAATTTCTTCTAGTAAATACACTTCAGTTTTTTGTACTCAGTAAGGTCTGTAGTTAATTTAACATTTTTTCAACTTTTCCACTTAGATTCTGCTCAGAAAGGGATTTATTGCTACATATAATGTATATTCAATATTTTTTATTAATGCTTCTCTTTTAGTACCTATAAAGTTAAGTAACGCGGAAAACAAATTACTGCTTTTGATGATAACTAGTTAAGTTAGTCCTGAACTAATATGTGAGTGGAAAAATCCTAAAAACTAAATTTACAGATCGACGAGCATTATTGAAAATATCTTTAACTTAAATCAGTCAATTATAAGCAATTTAAAATTTTAAAGTAGGTATCTAGTTGTAATAATAATAATTCTTGTGTAAAATCAAAAACATGGTAACATCAAATCAAATATATTAAATTAGAATTTCTTTATATTGACAGATATAAGTAATTGCTTTTGATATGTTATGTGTCTTTTCTTTACAGATCAATCAGAAATACGAGAGGAAATCAACATGCGGCGTTAGTAGCTGTTGTACGAAAAAGGTAAGTGATATCGGAACCGGCTCTGTCTTTTATAAAGTTATCTTATAATTTTAGCACGTTCGAAAAAGATGATGTAGCAATTATGGCTTTGCTCGATTCGGGATTTAATAGGGTAAACATTACCCATATAATATAGTTTTAATGTACTGTTACAATTACAAATCCAAGAAATTAACTCATTAGCTTAGCTAGGTAAATAAAAAGTAGTAATTTAAAAATTTTCGTCTCGCCGTTTGGGCATTATAGAAAAAATCTAAAAACTCGTAATTTTTTGTGTTACTACTAAATACAAAGACTAATCGTCGAAAGAACAACGTGGAAGGATTTGACTTCAAGAATGAATGATGTTTGCACCATTAATAAATTTTACTCCAAAGCCGGCTCCATTTTAATATAGTGTCCATTTGTTTTGGGACTAAGTTAATGTTAACCTCCCAAAGCAATTTAAAACCTAAGCAAAGCTAACTCTTTCTAGAACAGATAGCTCCAACTAGTTAGCTTCATTAATCTTTCATTAGGGCTTATAATTTCGCAACTTATAAAATAAACTGTTATCTTTGAAATCTATTTCTTGACGACAAAGGAGGTAACGAATATCATAATGTATATACAAACCATTTATATTACATATACATACATGACCTGATCTGATCTGACCAGAATTGGCGGGGGTTTGATGATGGAATTTTGTTCTTGCATTTCAACTATAATTTGTAAATTTCAACACTGTTTGATCTTTTTTTTTTTAATCACAATAATTAGTAGTTGCCTAACACACAGCTGTGTTGGTGTTCAATAAATAAACAAGAAAAAAGATAACATTAAAAAAACAGTTGTCACAGGGATCAATAACGAAACTAATAGTACAAAGACAAAAATATTTTTTTAATAGCTATATTGAACCGTCGGACACGGGATACGTGTTTCACTCGGTGATAATTTAACACCCCTAAATTATTAATTTATGGCATAACATAATATTTAGACTAGAGTGGGGTCAATACTTGCTACTATTTATTAGACTAGTAAGCTGTTCTGAATCAACTGAAACTTGGAAGATATTAGGTTCCTGCTGTTAAGGGTGGTAAATCGTGATATATAAAAAATAGGTTACCTCGTTTATATAACTATCAGGGTACGGACATTACGGAGTAATACATGAGCGTGCATGCTTTAAGTTGCAAACCTCAAGGCCAGGCGTTTACGTTGACCATTATTATTCTGAAAATTTGTCTTAACTAATGTGTTGGCGTTCCAAGATTTTACTTTTTATTTTCTGGACGTTAATTTCTTGGAATTGGTATATCAATTGTTGAATTGTTTTGTGTCTCTTTATCACTAATGCTACACAAAAAACTAACATAAATGCTTTAGTGTATTATAGAAAATACGAATATAATTTCTGCGGTGAATGAGATTATCCAACTGAAACACAGCGACATGCAGCCTATGGCACAACATGCAACTTGCCAGTCTGTGTACGCAGCCCTGGAAAAATGTAAAGATGTAGTTATAATTACAGACGAAAGTTACAGGTGCCAGGTAATTTTAAAATTTCATTATAAACTAATCACAACTCTACGAACTATTTCTTATTAGTACGCAAATCGAGCTTGTGAAAAATATTTAAACATACGTCCTGAAGAACTCGTAGGTAAAACACTTCAGGAGCAATTAGCGCACGACACTCTACAGATAACAACAATGGGTTCATCTCTGTTAAGAGGAAGAGAATGGAATGGGGCCCTGACTTTAAAGAAAAAATCAATGGATCCTATATTGTCATCTTGCAGAGCTGTACCAATTTCCTCTGCCGGAAGGTAAATCCTTGTCTTATCGATCAGGAGTAAATAAAACAAAGCACAATGTGTATTCAGAACACCAACCCACTTTGTTTTGGTTCTCGATACTTCACATAGTTATGATGCATTAGGACAATCAAGAGGTAGCGTCCACTCAATCAGAAGAGGGTCAACCGATGTTAGAAGCGTTAATAGTGACTATTATAGAAGGACTTCCCTAGCAAAATTGAATGCGTTGCCACTCGAAGCTCCAATAACTAAAGTAAGTTTATGACATATTTCCGAAGTTACACAACACAGACTGTACGCATCACGAAAGATAGTGTTTCCATTAGCATCAAATATTTGTTTCTAGCGCTGTTTTTGTCAGTGGTAAAGTTTTTTATGCTGCAAATAAACTAATACGAAAACAGCACAAGCGAGTCGGACATTTCCGGTTTTATTTAATCAGTAGTCCATTGAAAACACGTATAAAACAACGTGTACGCCACAAAATTGAAAAATTAATTTTTAATTCAGCAATAACGCTGTTGTTACATCCACATACGTCTCGCGTTCCCGTTTATCATCAGTCGGATATTTTATTAGTAAAAGTAGTAAAAGTACTGGACTGATTTAAAAAATTTTAAATGTACTTTAGGGATATCGTGTCAGTCATATACATCATACTATGCATAAGAATGACCGGAAATTAAAATCTCAATGCACAAAGTTTTAATTTTATGTACGTTAACTTTTTAATTTAACGGCTGTTTTCGATGCACTTTCCATATTATAAACTCGGATAGGAAAATCGCTTCAAAAACAATCACCATCATGTTTTATCTGTTTGCATTTTACAATTCCATTAAAATTTTAAAGTTGAAGTACGGTAGTTTCGAGAGTTCTGTGTACAAAAATTGCCAGCAAACGTATGAAAACTGAAAATCTCTATGTTCATAGACTCTATTATTTGTAAAAATGCAGCTATTACAAATTTAAGACTAATTTAAACAATCAGCAAAAATTATATGTTCGACTCGACTACAAGACATCAGCCACAGCAAAAATTGCCACTTTTTGTGACTACTGTTACCATCATTATAACAAAATAATAATTTTTGTCATGTCCCAGTTAATCTCTCTTCTTGACCAAGCGAAAGACGGTTGTGGATCAAACCCTCAAGTATTGCAGTTATTAGATAAAGTAGAAGATATCTTGCGAACTCCAGAATTGTATGCACCGAATGTTAAAGAAGACAGAAACGAGGAGCCTATTGTGTCAGAACTCATCACCGCCCTTCTTTCGGTATTTTGTCGTAGGAAAACAAATCAATCTTCGTTAACATATAAATATTTTCAGAAACAATCCCAGCCTTCTTTAGTTGTATCCTCTAGAAGGAGCAGCAACGATTCTTCGGTTTATCGACCATCTAAAGGCGGCGTAATAAAAGTTCCTGCTGCTTTGAAAGAGCTGCTTGACACATCATTATCATGGGAATTTGACATATTTCGACTGGAGGAACTCACAAAGAAAAAACCATTACAGTATCTCGGAATGAATTTGTTTACTCATTTTGAAGTCTCCGCAGTTTTAAATTGCGATGAAAAAACACTGTATAATTGGCTCATTATAATCGAAGCGAATTATCATGCAGATAACACATACCACAATTCCACACATGCCGCCGACGTAATGCAGGTAATATCTTACTTAAGTATGCTAAACTTGATTTATTTCCTTGTATTAAGTCAATTTAATCTTACAGGCCACTGCAGGTTTTCTTGAAAGAGAGAAAGTAAAATCAATTATGGACTCGCTAGATGAAGCTACAAGTTTAATAGCCGCGGCAGCTCATGACGTCGATCATCCTGGCAAATCTAATGCCTTTTTGGCCAATTCCGACAATCCATTAGCTATATTATATAACGATATCACTATTTTGGAATCACATCACGCTGCTTTGATGTTCAAGTTAACCTTAGGTTAGTTTGTTAGAAATATGTTTTTATACGAGAAATTAATGTTTTCTTTTATTTTTAGGTGACGATAGAGTTAATATTTTTAAAAATTTAGATAAGGAAACATATAAAATAGCCAGACACAATGTTATAGACATGATTTTAGCAACGGAAATGACAAAGCATTTTGAACATTTAGCCAAATTTGTTAACGTGTTTTGCACTAAATCATCAAGTGATCTAGAGGTATGTGTGTGTACTGCCTAGTAAGTTTGTTGATGTTAGATTCGACTTAAAAAATGCTAAAATAAGATTGTAACTAAAATTGAAAAGTGGAAAATCTGTCACGCAGTTAAGTAATTAATTGAACGATACGTTTTACGAAAATATTCCAGAAATAGAAAAATGAAAATATAACACTTCGTAATTCCATACTTTTAGCTGATTTTGTACTTTCTACCTGGTCAGAAATTTTGTATTCTGACAACATGAGACTAACATTATTCAATAAATTTGTGGTAAACCGTTTGACAAACATCGCCTGATTGAGTTGGTTTTTAACGACTGCTTTAGCGGCTTATAGCAACATAAGGTGACGTATATTACTCGAACTCATTCAGGAACTGATATTATAAACAAATAATTTTCTTGCAATAAAAAAAAGAAGATTAATAGAAAAACGACAACAAATGATATATTGATTTTTATTGACTGTGTCGCGTTACTGATTCTACTAGCAATTTAATGTAAAAGTATACCACGATAGAAAAAAGAAAAATGTCTCGGCAAACATCACATTTAAGATGTAAACATTGCTTGTCGTTGTTTATACGCGTGTACTAAGGAATGGCTCCGGCACTGTGTGCTAAAGATTATTTTTATTTTTAAATATTCACAAATTTGCTAGAATCTCCATAAATGTACAGGATTAATAAATAATTTAACTAGTCGCTTTTGTTAATCTGTAGTTATAAATCAGCTTCTAAAAAATCTAGATTATAAAATGTGTCATACAATAATCATATAAGTGATCAAAACACTTGTCGGTCCCATGTTGCATTACCCGAATTAAAAATGTTCCATGTCATATTTTTTGTTTTGCAGGTTGATGTACAAGAATATCCACAACTGAACTCGCCAGAAAATATTACCCTGATTAAACGTATGATGATTAAGTGCAGTGATGTATCCAACCCTACTAGACCTCTAAGGCTATGTATAGAGTGGGCTAGAAGAATTGCAGAAGAGTATTTCCAACAAACAGACGAAGAGAAAGACCGCGGTTTACCTGTTGTCATGCCCATGTTTGATAGATATACTTGTTCCATTCCAAAATCGCAAATAGGCTTTGTTGACTATATCATTAACGATATGTTCGAAGCCTGGAATGGTAAAATTTGAAAATTGAAGAAAATATGTAATCTTTTATTAATTTTTAGCCTTTATTGATATGCCAGATTTGATCTCGTATATGAGGCAAAATTACATCAGATGGAAAGAATGTGACGAACAAGGTCTCAATACTTTAACTGATATTAGTAGACTTCAAAGTAGCGTACTTATGTGTCCTATGTTTCCTATCAAGTCTTCGAAATCTAACTGATATAAGCTTTGCCGTAAGTGTTAACGTTGTCCAACAAATTCATTTAGATAACTGAAAGCATTCCAGGTCACCACGATGACGCCAGTAAATCAATATCTTTTCATTAAAAGAACTGTGAACGTTAATTAAAAAGTGTGCATATCGTCTTACTTATATTTATATATATTTATACAATATATACATTTATAGTATAAATAAAATATACCTCATTATTTAAATAATAACATGTTATGCATGCTGGCCGTGCATATCCAATTTTAAAAGTTAAGTATTTTAGTAATAAATTATTTCCTTACTTTTATTATGTTTTAATAACTACTATAAATGTATTATGATGTTCTTACTGTTTTTTATTAAAAATGTATTGATGTGTAATACGAGTTTATGAAAAAAGTCCTTTTTTACAAAATTTAACACGTAATAACAATTCATAGTTGCCTCAAGTCCCAATTGCGCGAATGGTTATTTTATTGAGGAGTTTGCATAGTTGTGCAGGTAAAACAAAAGCCCTCAAAAGCTTGCTGGAGTGGCAAAACCTTCTCGTGCTTTCTAAAACAAGATAACAAATAATGTAAATACAACTTGCTGTGAAATTAACACAAATGTAGAGTTCACCAGGCGGTAAATAAAGAGAACGGATGGCTTGGTAGTTGTATCACTCGAATTTATGTATTAACATGGGGGTAGGATGACAGGAGGGAGCATGTGCCATTTATGACACTTTCCTATGTCGGGAGCGGTCGGTTATCCACAGAAGATCAGAGGCGTGTATTAACATTGTTTAAGTACGAGACCTCCCGCATCCTGACCTCACCCTCCGATCCCTCGCAAACGGTCACTTCTGTAATTAGAATGCGCTAGCATCCCAGGTACTTATTTGACCATTAATTTAATTTAATTAAACAAAAAACACAACAAAAGGAACAATCAAAAATTTAGTTATATAGTTTTCCCAGTTCTAATTGGGTTTTATGATAGTACTGTGTAAAAATTAATTTCCTTAAAAGTAGATTACTACTGCCGGAGTTCGAACCGTTATACAGTATAATAGTTAAATCCTTATTTATGACTGACCCATCACCAGCTGTAGTAATCTATTGTTAAGCAAGTTAAATTTTATACATCGTAAAACCGAATTAGAACTGGGGAAACTATACCACAAATTGTCATAACACAAGTTATTAATATTAATACAATGGAAGTAAGTCCACAGTGGACTAAATACGTCACATCACACAAGTGTTAATACTTAAAAACCCCATATACAAAAACAATATATACTTAAAAAATCTGAAATGTCTGAAGAGATTATCAGCAAACAGTTAAGAACCATCCCGATTAAACTAGCACTGAATTCATCCGTTTGAGAGCTGCGATACAGAGACAGACAAAGGCTCCACATACTCGATAATTTTAATTTAGCAGATAAATATCTTTCAAAAGTTCATTCTCTCAAAACAGTCAAGCTTTAAATTGAGTTTTAAATTTTATCGAACACATACATGAAAATAAGCTATAAGTGATTTCTTTTAAATAAAATTCTTTGTCACATACAGTTTTGTATTATTGAGGAATAATCCTTGAAAATGTTATGGCAACTTCCTCACCTATTTTTCCGCATTAACTTGAGAAACATACAAAACAGTGTTTTCGCAATTTTATAAATTTTACATTAATAACTATGACGTATGTGCGACTTTAACAAAAAAATTGTCCCGTGGTAAAATTTTCACATAAAATTCGACGTCACGCTTTTAAGACTCTGGCTATTTATTGGTAGTCTTAATTTTTCACTGCATAAGAATGTGCTAGGATTATTATGGAGTACTAAAGGGATGATAGATAAATCGCAAATTAAAAAACCATGGACCAATAGTAGGATTCGAATCCAAATTTCTCTCTTATTGGGCGAGTGTGCTTACCACTAAAGTATCAGGCCATACGTACTTATCGTTCCTCATTTTCAAGGATATGTACAGTGTACAGTCGCGGCCGTTGAAAAGTACTACTCTTTGACATGTCTAAAATTTTGTCTTTGTGAACTGCTCTCACTGCTCTACAACTGAAGTTTCTAAAATATCACTTCAAATGTTACTAAAAACAGTGTCATCGAGCCAAAAATTTTAGTTCAACAAAAGTTAATATTTTACTCTAGCACCAGCTGAATCGATGACGTCTTGGTATTGGTAAAACGACATTCCGCACATATTCTAATGGAATTTGCAAGCCAGTATCTAATAATATTGGCCAATTCTTCCCAGTCCATTGAAAATCCAAATTGTGGGATTCTCCAAAATGTCAAAAGGTAACAGCAACATTGTCATATTTATATAAAATCTAATTTAGGCTCAGCGAAATTTTAAATTTTCAAAATAATGCACTGTGGTTTTTCAACGGCGGCTGTACATAGTTATTATACTGTATTATTAAATTATTCATATATTATGTCTATATGTTGTAATTATTATTATTGTTATTTTAATCACTAATAATTGTAGAACGTTTGTACCCACCTTTATCATAGTAGCAAAATTTCAGTAAATAAAACAAGTTTAATAGTAGGAGTTGGAAAAAAATATGTATTTCATTTATTACAGTAGAAAAATACACAAAAATGGAAAATACTTCACCAAAAACATTACATTATCGGATTAGAATTTGTTAAAAATAATACTTTTATCAAAATGAAAATTTTCTTAAAATGACAGTCAGGTACATTCCTTTAATTCGTAGGATGTTCAATTTTTGGTTGTGATTCGCTAGCAGCAGTGACAGTTGCTTTAGCAGGCCCTGTTTGGGTTATTGGTACAACTCTTTCGCCAGTAGGAGGTTGATAAACCTTTTTAGGAGCTGTCACTGTTAAAATCCCATCAGATGATAAAGTTGAAACAACATCGTTAATATCGTGTTCTTGGGGAAGTACATATCTTCGAACAAAATGCCTTGAAATATATCCATGTTCGTCTTGTTTTTCTTCATGTTTTCCTTCAACAACAATACTGCTTCCGCTGGTTTTGACTGTGATTTCATTTGGTGCAAACTGCTGGACGTCTAAAATAACTTGAAACTTTTCTTTATCCTGTTGAATTGTTGAACCTGAATCTTGTCTCTGGAGAGCAGTACTCCACGGCCTGACATAACTTCTAAAAATGGAACTTCTTGGAAAAGATCTGGCGGTATTAAGAAGGTCATCTCTTCGCAGCCCTAATCCAAAATGCTGATCGAAGAGTCGAGATGGACGAGAAAAGTCTTCATCGTCCCACCAGTCACGGAAAAGTAGAGGTACCATAGACATCTAAAATCAAACGTTATTTAAAATTAGTATGCAATTACAAAACTTTATTTAAGTGTACCTTGTATTATGTTGGCAGAAATGCGGAGAACTTCTTTAGTTTGTGATTTTTGGATTTAGACTGAAGACTCCCTAAACTTGCCTAACTATATATACCAGAATTGATGTTAGCCAATCATGACGAATTCGCTTGCAGGTATATTCTAGAATGCAGAAGCATTTTCCACGTACATTCTAAAATATCTAAAAGTGCTTCGCTGCGTAGCGAACTATTTTTGAAGTATTCAGAAAAAGACAGAAAACGATTGCGTGCTGCATATTACGTACATCCAGTTCTCGATGGATTAAAATAACACTGTGAGTAAACTTTTGAATTTTTACGCTATTTTTCATTAGACTGTTACGAGTAAAAATAGATGTGAACCGTGATGCATCTCTCCTACTGTAGCCAAATTTAGACACACCACATCCTTACAACATAAAAGTTAACTATTTTGAGCAAATCTAACACACAAATAATGTAATCATGTAAATTATACAATGCGTGTATTTTAACTGAATGAACATCACCAGCTTAAACAATGGAATCATTGAAGTCGTCATTGCAACGCAAAAGAAAAAAAATCCAAATATTTCTTAAATTATTTAAATCTGCTAAATTAGTACACAGTATGAATAATTCGTTTTTCGAAATACTCATTACTTCCCTTTACGTAGCTACGAAATTATTATAACATAGTCATTTTATCGTGACGTTTCACAGTTTGTACACCACGAAAATGTCGATTTCCCGTCTGTGTCCGTCTGACGGTGCTTTTATTAGTAACAATAACAATAATAATGTATTAATTGATATTAATAATTAACAACTACAACCTATCTCGATTGATATTTAGGTTTATTCTGCAATGGTCCTTTATCTATGCTTGTATTATGCGTCATCGTCATCATAAAGAAATAATAAAACTTATACTATGAAATTTTACAATATTTCTGACAACTAATATAACCATGTTTTTCTTTTAAATTTTGATAACACCACTTTGAATGTGAAAGGTATAGGATTCGATCCCCAATATTTTGAATTATTTTTTCATTATTTCAGAAACAGTCCATTTAATCTCTCCAAAATTTTTAAGACAAACAAATTAATATTAAGAGTGTTAAATTCTACCTGTTAAATGATTGTTATTCCACATTGATCTTTAACATTAATAAAATTACTGAATAAATCTTCATTCCAAAATATATTCTTACATGTATAGGTTGTGCTTCAAAGGCGAAGGAAGTTTTATCAGAATAACTTTAAATCATTTTTTTAAATAAGTATTCGTGTTTTTTTTTTTAAGAAAATCTCTTATTATAGATACCACTACAAATAACTCATATGGTATTTGACTCCTAAATATTACATTAAGACAAGAATACTTTATTGACCGAGCGCATGCTAAGGAAGAATTGTAATCGAGTTCATCGGGCGACTGGTTGCTTTCATATTTTCTCGATGGATTATGACCCCTAGAGTACGAATAAATAGGTCTCCCATTTCCGTCTGTCTGTCTGTCTGCCTGCCTGTCCGCCGTCCGTTGTCAAATTTTATATATGTATTATGAATCATGATCAAAGATGGTAAAACGCTAACCAAACTTTCTCTGATCATCCCCACGAATAAAGTTGACGTCACCTCAAAATGCTACACAGTAAATGGATTTTAAATTGTATAAAATAGCATAGTCCTACACGCGTAGTTTATGAAACCGTCTTGAGTTTTTACCCAAAACGTCCATCAAAATTAGATAACAACATTTTGCAGTTTAATTTTAAATCTGTAAAACCGAATGCTTTGAAATCTTGCAGATGTAAGCATTGTACATTTTTAATCAAAATATATCTGATTATCCCCCCATCCAAAAAAATTATTGACGTCACCTTAAAATTTGGCCGCATAAATCCTATTTAAAATGTGCAAAATATGAAGAATGTATGTTGTGATTTATCATTGCCTTTATATTTTTAGAATTGCATATAAAGGGTGACTCAAGAACATAATGAATGAGTCAATTTATTTTATGGGTTGAATCAGGAACTGCAAAATCGAATACTTTGAATTTTAATGTTCAAAACATCTTGTACGATTGTGACTTAATTAATAATTTTAATCCTCTGTTTTGAGGCGACAAACTTATTCAAATCAAACTAATTTCTATATGTGACCTTCTTCAGATGTATAGACCTAAATAATTCAGTTATATTAAAGTTATTGCTGAGATGCCATTTTTACTTATTGAACGTAAGGCGACTTCGTACTTTCATATTTTCTCCACGTTTCAAGACTCCCCTAGAAAAATTTTTACCTTCCCTATTCCTAGACAAGTTAACCATCAAATGTGAATTACAACATCGAAAATTAAAATAGCTTAGTTTCTCTGTTTCACTCTCACATGCACAATCTCGACAAGTGTTGTCGCTATTTGTCTTGAATTACGAGTACTTACAAATGCTTTTATTAAATTGTTTCGTTATTTTATTGATTGAGTCAAAATTCAAGAACGACGACTCACTCCATTTTTCCAAAAATTTGGTGATAGATCAGTACTATTATCATTAGTATTACACTACTACATCTATCCAAATCAATATACGTGTCCTTGCAGAAATGTTGATTACGTCACCACAAAATTTTGTAAATAAAATTCGCAAAATCAAATCTTACAATTTTTCGGAACAGCTGAATTGTTGTACTTTATGGGCGAGGGAAGTTCTGGTGAAGTTAATCTTCGACATTTTTTTTACATATCAAGACATATTTTGGACATGGAGTAAAATTTGGAAATTTTCTGAGTGCTGTTGTTTTTAGCTTGAAGCTAGAGTAAATATTTTTTATAAAATATCGCCAGTTTGATGTTTGAAGTTTGAACGATTTATCACATATTGCATCGAGTGTCAGCAGGCCCGTTATTGTCAAAAAAGACACAACTAAATAACAATACTATAAAACCTGATTTACGGAAACTTATATTATTTTTCAAAATTTAAGCAAATTTCAAGGTCGACAACTTACCAGTGTAGTTAGCGGAGATCACAACCCTCGCAAAACTGTAGGGTCGCGGACGTTACAGTAAATAACACGTTTTGTTGTGCATCTGTGTTGTACTCGTCTATAATATTGTAAACAAAAGAAAATGTAACTAAATAGTATGTTATATAACAGAAAACACAGAATTTACATTGTTTTCACTCTCATGTTTCAACACAGCTGCTGTACATAGCAAGGCCTTTAGAGCCGTTTGCATTGAGGGCTTAATGCTGATTGTTGTTGACATTAAATGCCAAATGAAAAAGTGACAAGCTGACAAGTTATTAGAAAAACATTCTGATTCAGTATCAGAATCGAGAGAAATTGTGATTGGGGGTATGTCTTCATATGGTGCATTACCCATTAAACGCTTCCAATCATCCCTGATCAGCCGTTCACAATGTCTAATAAAATTTTGCCATTTGTCTGCACCTACTGTAGCAAGAGCCTCCCGCCATAAGGACTGTACAACACCAATAGGACCACCGTGTTCCTGAATATGTTTATTGTAATATAGTTTACACTGTCCCCACGCCAGTTCAATTGGATTATACTGACAGTGGTAGGAATATTGAAAAATAGGTGGATAATTCCTCTTGCTCTCGTCACTGCCATACCATTTATCCTGGGCATATTTATAAATCTGTTCCTTTAGGATCTCTGCTGGGTGCTTTTAAGTTGTAGTTCTAACTTCCCCACTCCGTAAGAACATAATCTATCATAAATATTGCGATAGAACGCGCTCATAGAAACGATTCAAAATTAATGCGGTTCTTGACGTTTCAAGTGACAGATCAGTCACTATTGCATTGTCGATAAAGTAAAATAAGGAGGTGTAAAAAAATACTAAACTACACAGTTAAGAGTAAATTTTTGGGTTTTGCGTGTCCTTGACCTTCGCGCCCATTTTGAAAAATAATATAGTTAAATATTTGATTGCGATTAAATTTTTAAGAAGGCATTAAAGTACCATGTGACCGACTCTACGCCAATCAGACGTCGCTAAAACTAAATAAATAAGGCTATAATACCAAATACCTTTTTATTTTGAGGACACATTTTGGTAATATACCTGGTTCCGTACCACTTTATAAAATATCCCACATTGGATATGGACAGTGTGAATAAAAATTCAGCAGAGATTTTTTCAGAAAACTTAAAATAAAAGTCTTGGTTATTGGTCTTCTGGTCCGTTTCCAATCAACGTAAAAATATATAGTTACAAAATCGGATGGTATTTAGATAATGTTAGTTAAGCCCCAATTTTTTATTATTATTAATTATTATAACAATTTATTATATGATCTAAGTTTACGACCCATACTGTGACGGCCGTACGGAGCGGAGCGGAAGCAGATTAAGGTGGCGGTACTTTTTAAATTGGGTGGCGACATCTAGTAATAGTTTAGACAACGACTACCGATATTCGGGTCAGAAACATCAAAGGCGCCGATAGAAGTTTTCCCTACTGAATGATCTCTACACGTATTGAGTGTTCTGTGCTCTATCTCTATACTTATTCAATATCTTTGATCCAAAGGAATTTGCTTTTCCCCCTCCATCGCAAAGCGGGATCTAGTAAAATAAGTTGACGTTGACATCTATGCCTTCAAATTCTCTGGAAATAGCCGGGGAGGGGAGAATAACCAACCAATAACAAAGCTGTTTTTTTGAATGTTCAAAAGTTAAAACTTCAAAAGTGACAGGAGTCTGACAGGAGTGACAGTTTGTTACTTTTTATGAGTGCAAGTAAGTGTGGTTTTTGTGGTGTAATAAGAATGCCAAGTCTCGTGTTAATGCATTAAATGGTAGTTTCTACAAAATATTACGTTGTTTTTCGGTCAACAATTATTAATAACTGATCCGAATTAATCACATTTTGTTCCTTTTATAATTGGTTTTATAACACCTAATATAATTATTGCGAAAATGGATGAAGACGCTTTATTAAATCTTTTTGAAAAAATCAATATCAAGATAGGAAAACTGAAGCCACATGTTATTAAAGCGTGGTTTGATACAGACTGTGATAATTTGTTGCAATGGATGTACACTTCAATCACAGAGGAGTGTTATGTTTCGGCCCAACAGGAATTGGAGTGAGTTATATTATTATATTTATCAGACGCATATTCATGCATATGTGATTTATTTTATTGTAGGTATGCGCAATGTGATGTTTTAACACACGATCAATTGCAGAAAAAAATGAAAATTATTGAAACTGAATATCCTGATATATGTCAGGTGGATACAAATATGTTTGAAATAGAATTTTCTAAAAGTACAGCTGAAGTGCTTGAGGAAGAATTGAAAGACTATGAGCATCAAATATGTGTTAACGAGTAAAGTCCACTTTTTGATGAGCAAGTTTACCTACTAGTAATATTTTAATTGCAGGGAAATATATGAAACCTTATTAGCTGAATTATCAATGCTAAGTACGAAAGAAATGCAGGCACAGCTGGAAGAAGAATCAGCACAAGGAAACTGTGTCACCTTAGCCCAAAATTTTGACAAAATAAATAGTCAAACATATGATCAAATATTGAAATATGGTTCCTATCTTAGCAGTTATGAAATTGTAAAGAATATTGGGTATATAATTTGTACAATTTTAGAGTATGATATTGTAGGCAGAAATTCCGAGGTTTGCAAATAAAGTAGATATGGGATTCGAACAAAAATTTTGTAATGCAGTGAATCAGATGAATTCAATAATTCATGGTCAACAAGACTCATTCGAAACAAGTTGTGTTAAGTATTTAGCAGACACTTTATCTGAATTAGAAAGCTGGTAAGTATACATTCTATAAGTCATTCAATATTATTAAATAAAAAAATTGCAGCATATTCCAAAGCAAAGTTAGCCTCTTAGCTCTTCAAATGGAAGTTGAAGCTTTAAATTCCACATTAAATTTTTTAGATAATTATGATATAAATCAGCCATGGCTAGACTAGTAAAATATATAAAGTATTGTTGGTAATTGTTAATAAAAGGACGTTTTTAGTGAGCCTCATGTATTGTCCACTGGTGTCAATATGGATCAGCAAACGTCGATGATGAATCTAATTGAAAACTTGGCACGAAAATTAGCTCAACACTGTGTAAAACAACCGACATTTCAGTGTTTAAAAAATCAATTTGAATTTTTTCAGTATGGTATGTTATATATCGTGAATTAACCATTAAAATTATTTTTCAGGTTAAAATTAAACTATGTAAATAAATCTAGAGACACTCTTGCCAGCATTTTATGCCATTTTATTATAATGCATAGTTTATACCTACAAGAAAAAACAGACATACATAGTTCAAGTCAGTTCTTCAGAAATATCAACAAGTATGTTTGTGATGATATAAAAGGCATCATTTTTAGAACAGTAAGTTGCTATAATGGACTAAACTGATTTAGTTTATACAACATTTTAGGAAGCAATGTTGAAACTCATCTCTGAGTATGAAAACTTCTGCTCAAGTCCATTTGAAAATAAGATCCCATTGGTAGGCAATTTTGGTGTGATAGTACAGAAACCGAATCAGACACCCTTGATGGACGTTTTGCAAGAAGTTACTTTTCTAAGAAATAGTGCAAAAAAAGCGCAAGAACTACAGTGGTCTTCTGTTCATTTGGATAAAAAAGTTTTGAGAGAATTGTAAGTAGAGTCACTATATAGGTGATCAGAAATTTTACACACCAGAAAGTAAATACGTTATGTTACAAACTTTTCCGTCTAACATCCAGTCAGTGTTCTCAATTTTGCAAGTCCAAGAATGTTAGACAAAAATTTTCACCAATCAGTTAAATTTTGTTTAGCTTATTAGTGCTTATGAAACAGTCTGAATTCATTCAGTTTTGTCCTAATTGAACACAAAAGTAGCTAATAACCAAGATATTAGAATTCCGAATAAACGCAACTGACATGCGCCATATTTGATTCAAAAACAAGTGCAAAACATGGAAAACCTTTCTGCTTCACGAAATAATAACGAAATCATACAGAACTAAACTAGATTTTGCCGCTTTCTCCTCAACCAGCTTGTGATAAAATCTCTAGTGATTGTATGTATTAGTTCTGATTGGCTGTGACCCATTACACATACATAGTTTGTTCTAAATTTAAAATTTTCATAGTCGTAGAACGGTTTTTAATTGTCCTCAAGATAAATAGCGGAGTTAAAGTTGTAGTGGTGTAATTTACTTAAAATAAGACACAGAAACTAGATCTAGATAAGTCAATCTGTAAAGCCAACATGAGGTAAGTCAGAGCTTCACCCGGCTGCCAAGAGATGGCGCTTGAATGGACACTTTTCAAAGTGGCTAGATCTATTGTGGATAAAAAAGGAGAACTGCAATGGGATAAGAATACATACAGAGTTTGTTGGTTCTTTTTTTTTCAAAAAGACATTTTACCTAATTATCCACAAAATTTTCGACTTGATTCTATTGTAATAACCCACACCAATTTGTTATGTTTTAGGCGTGACAATATTCAAATCCTTGAAAATTTCTTAATTTGTGGACCCACTTCCCAAATTGTAATTGTGCCAGTCTCGGTAACAACACGACTGTTAACAGTAAACCAGATTTTAATAAATCAACGTTCTTCTGTTAAGTTGTTAATTCAAACAGCTCAAAAACCAAAGGTAAGATTTTGTTGATTCTGTGTCTTACACATGTTTTATATATTTTATTTGTCTTTATAGGATCAAAGATCGAAAAACAAGTGGATAAAGTATCAGAATATATTGTGGACATATTTTATGACAGACTCTACAAAATTACTGTCGTTTCTGGAACAGCTTAAAGCTGATGAAAAAAAGGGTTTGAAGGTAAAAGATATGTAGAATAATTTTTTATTTTGTATGTCTGTAATTAATTTGTAATTTGTCAAACTTAATAAATTATTTTTTTAACAATTTCTTTTATTAACAGGTCCAACAATTCTGAAATTAAAATGTAACACAAGCCAATCATATGAATAGTTTTTTTTATTGAATAGTTTACCTAAGTGCTACAGCTTAAAAATATAATTTAAAAATGGAACATTTATTTAATCACAATTGTTTACTTAGGATTCGACTTAATACCCAATCTTACGTATAATTCAAATTGTCATTTGACTGCGTATTATAAAAATTTTGTGGATATTGCACATTTGCCATGTCCATATGTACATGAATCGGATTGCTTAAATCAATATCGAAACGATGATCCTTTTTAAAATTGCCTACAAACAAAAATTTCAGAAACATGAAGAAATCTTGTACAACATACCTGAAAGTGTTCTATTTAATTCATAAATAATTTGTTCTAACTGTTTTTGATCTAACTTGGCTGTTATTCTAGTATTGTTAAACTGTAGTGATCGTCGGTTTCTTGAAAGTAGGGGTAATGTAAATTCGCTTTCAGAAACTGGTGTATCATCAGCCCCGAATTCCTATAAACGTATTATTACAAAAAAAATAGAAAATAGTACTCCCTAACAATACCAAACACTTCCCGCTAATGCAGTACGCCTTTTTATCAGAAGTGCTCCGTGAACAATCGGTCCCAAAAGGAAACCATCCATCTTCACCGTTAACTAGATAATATCTGTGCAAAATATTTTCATCTTGACAAGCAACTCTGCACGGTCTGTCTGGATCCTCTGGTGTGAAAAAAACCCATTAGTATGTAGTGTTCACTATTTATCATGACGGTGGTACAAGAGGAGGAACGATGGTTAGATTGTTAAAATTATAGTGGCACTTTTAACTGAAATGTCTTTACATTACACCATACAGTGACAGTATTATTTTGTTATAAATTAAATTAATTTTATCTAACAGCAATTCTTCACGTGGATCTAATTAAGACATCCTTCCTCCTTTCATGTACATACATTGATGCTTATATTTTTTAAACATAAAAATCAGTTTACCTATTGCTGGCGGAATTTGCATTCCCACCCCAGAAAGTCTCCCCACTCTTTCTTTGTATTTGCCACAAATCACTGATGCATGTTGAAAGGGGGATTTAATCCGTCCGCAACCCTATATCATTAGATCATGAAAGAAATTAGTGATACAACTTTGGCTTTTCATATACTCACATACTGATCAGGTTGGCACAACTGTATGCTAGATTTAGCATACTTGCCTTTGCTTATAACTAATCTTATACCAGTGCCAGGCGATATGCAGTTAAAATGACATCCACTAGCACTTTTCCACTTAATAACGTGTCTGCTTCGTAAACCAGTACGGAAAATAATTTCATTGTCACTGCGATCGCTAGGGCAAAGTTCAGGCATTTGGGCAAAGATCACTTCTTCATAAGAATCACAGACAAAATCTTCACAACGACCACTTATGCAGTAACTTGATTTACCATAGCGGGAACGACGAGTTTGGCATACTGTTCCATCAGGAAATGTCCAACCGCGACTTTTAGTACCCCCATTACGTTTTTGACACCAAACTAAACATGCTTCTTCAGCTGAAACACATCATGTGGATGCATTTTTTAAAAGCAGTGTTAATGCATAAACACATTGGGCACACTAATTATTAAAGTAAGAGGACAGGTTACTTATTTTCCTAAAGGTGATAAAGTAGTGATTACCGGGTGAGTATAATGACTGAAACAAATTTTTAGGTTGGCAATTCTGAATTATTGACAGCAATGTTAGCATGTCAGTTCATAACTGCCAATAGACGTTTTACACAACTCAAATGGGCGCCGATTCAGTGGTACCAATCAAGCGAAAAACATGGTGGCACCAAATTTAAAATGTGGAAAAACTAAGTTTTATTATGCTCAGATGCTCCATTTCCAGATGTGATACAGTCAGTGGTTGGAAGTAATTCAGTTACAAGTAATTCATTACTGTAATTAAACTGTAACTGTAATGAATTACTTTTTTTTTTTGAGTAATTCAGTCACTTTTACATACTTTTGCAATTACTTTTAACCCAAATACTCAAAACGAAGGTTAACCCAGTAGGGAGTTAAAATCTGAAACGAGTTTAGCACAGAATTTGTTAAGAAACCACGTAACCGTAAGATACATAAGCTCTTCATCATTTTAAGGGTGAGCCAAAGCATATTCCAGGATAGGGAAATACATATAAACTTCTGCCCAAGTTTTTGCCAAAAGTATACGTCCGATTGTAATAAACTTCACACCGATGGAATGAGCGTAAAAAATCCTACCCAGACTGCTTTTCCGTTTTTTAAATTTTGTTGTAAAAAAAAACACGATAACACGTTAAAATTGTGATGGGTATGAGATTATCTGGTTTTCGCTATTTATGGATCAATTTTGAATTTTTAAAAAGGTACGTTAGTAGAAATTGTATTAAAAAATCCATTGCGCTTTACAGAAATAAAATATCTTGAAAAATAATTGAGTAAACAGAGGCAGAATATTTAAAATTTGTGGTCAAACAAACTTTAGCCATTTTTCTGGTCTACTCAAATCTATAACAGGTAACCGATAGAGCCTGTCCTTTTAAATACCTTATAATCTGTATTTTATGAGAGTGTCCACCCTCTAAGGTTTTCTAAATTAAATCTGTATAAGTTACAACGCCAAGTAAGAGGCAGTTAAATAATAATAATAATAATAAAGTAAATCTCTTAACAGTCCAGAAGCCCAATTATGTACTAAGAGACAAAAAAAGATAAAAGAACTAGTTAAAAAAAAACGAATTAAAGACGGACTTTTAAGTTTACATTATGTTGTAGCCCCCTTCTAAGTATTTAGGAACATCCTTTTTATTAGAGATTAAAAGATTTGCGTGCGCAGGTAATTATCGGTGGACTAATATTTACCATACATTCACACGTCGCCAACAAGATATTTTGAAATCTCCCACCAATGAAATTTTTTGTTAAAAGTTGTTGCAGTTGGCATCTGACTTTTATTTGTAGCTAGAGTGTAATGAATTCTTCCAAAAAAACAGTAATTTGTAATTCTAATGAATTACTATTGTTACCGAATAATGAGTAATTGTAATCCATTACTTTTTAAGAGTAATTGTTCCAATCACTGGATACAGTCAACATCTAACATTCACAGTGCGATTCTAATATAACTGATACTTTTTTGTGTATTTCTTTTAAAAATTGACTGTCACCAATTTTAAATGCATTGATTACAATTTCTTAAATAATAATTTAGATTAATTTGATACGGTCTAGCCAAACAGATGAGTTTTGTTTTTTAGTTCCCAATAAATAACAAACCAAGAAGTTATTGTAAAATTTATTTATTAAAATATACCAAATTAATATAAATTATTGTGCAAATTGTAGTCTAAATTGCACTTTGGAAAACAACATAATACATAAACTAATAAAAAAAATTAAGAATTCTCATAATTAAAATTAATTAATATAAAAAGTACCTATAATTTATGACTATACAGGGTCTTAACGTACTGAATAAAATACATAATTAATACTCACGGTCAGCACTGATTTTTTGCATTCCTGCACCCGTTAGATCTTTATCTACATCTCTTGCTCTAGTACAAATTTGCTCGGCAAATTCCTTAATCGTCAAACGAGGAACGTTCAAACATTGCTGAGCGTTACACGTTTGATACTTTTTACTAATTCCTTCACAGTGATTCCCACTTCCATGAAATCTGTATTAACACACTATTCTGATAAAACAATTTTTCTAAAGTTAGTTGTAAATTTAGTTACATACCGAGGACTACCGCATACTCTAGTTGACACCGTAATCCCCGTACTTCCAGATCGCAGTCTTCCCTCCTCTCCAAATAAACAACCTGATGCACAATCACTAAATGGTTTCCATTTACTCCAACTTCCTGCCGATTTTTCGATGCGAGATGAAGTTTGAGACGCAGCGCTATAAGCAGCACTAACTGGAAATCCGCGTGAGATGCACCTTCCTCCTTTGCACCACTGCAGAAAATATGGTTAATAGGCTTCATTTAACGTAACTATTAGAAACCTGCCATATTGTGACCACAAAGCGTTCCTTCAAGAGCAGGATGAGATGTCCATGTATACCTTTCCCTTTCACAATGTAAATCACGACATACGTCATCTAAAGGTTGTTGAGAGGAGTGACGACTGCCACGACCATACTTCAGCATACCTTCAGAAATGAACGGTTATTTTTCTGTACATTATTTACTAAGTTTTTCTTTTAAAATGTCACCAAAGAAACAAAAAGTCAAGGTTTCTTTAGAGTTTAAAATACTTGCATCTTATTTTAATTAAATATTTCTGATATTTCAAAACGAAACCCACGCAATGTTAGATCTTCTAAGTATATAATTACTTGTAACCAGTAATTTCGCTCTTACATTGCTGGTTGGCGTCAAATCTTTCTCCTGGTAAGGCACCTTCTGCACTATGATCGAGTTGACCCGCTGAACTCCCATGATCCAACAAACACCGTGATTGAGACGTTCTAAAAATTATACTGTTATACATGCACTATCTTTCAACAAAATATTTCCCATACTCTAAAAATTTTTGTAAATATCTGCGGCTGCACGCAGACCACGTAATTTTTCCGCTACCTAGAGTTGGTGACATAATATAACTAGCAGGATCACAATCATTGTCAGCTAATGGGCCATCGTGCCTCATTCCTAAACTAAAAGTTATTTACAGTTACTATGAATAACCATCGTCTAGAATAATAATTTAACATACTTATGTCCAATTTCATGAGCAACGACGTACACACTTTCAAAATGTCTTCCTTCATTGACAGTACAGCTGCTTGTTGTAGTACACATACCCGCTACTGGTGCTAGCCCTAATTCAAAATTTAACACACTCTAGTTTTAAAGTATAATTAAAAAACTCACCTACGACTTGATTGGAAATTTTTCCATGCTTTCCTCTTACATATAGATCGAGCCCTGTTAGAATTAAAGCATGGTCCCAATGTTGAGGTTCACGGTCTCCAGCAGGGTTCTTCGTCCTTTGCCAGTTACAAAAATTTGAAAGAAATCGATCAATATCAGGTGGTCTAACTAACCCCGCTGCTTCTTCTTTAAGTATTTCAAGTCTTTTAAGTACAAAATTTACTGGTCTGCCTAAACTAGGATCATGATAAAGTAGTTGCACCTTAAATACCTCTTAATAGAACTTAACATGTGTTTGTAGAACTTAACTTACAGCATTAATCATGGCAAGAACGAAACGAATTAATTCCCTTTCCGTATCGACAGGAAAATTAGTCTTCATGTGTTCAAATAAGTCCCTATCTACAAAAACGGCAGTTTCCACAAAGACTGGTGTGCCTAAAGGAGGAGATTCTCTTTTTGAACGCTTCAGACTTAGTGGATTTTTTTCGCTTTCAGCTTTGGCCTCTTCATCTTTGGTTGGATTTATTTTATTTTTCAGTTGTATGTCACTGGGCAGCTTCGTGTTGTGGTGATGGAGACATGTTTTTTTATGATGTTTGCGAACAACGACATGAGGTCGTTCTGAAGTTCCATTGTAAAATCTTTCGGGTAATGGTTGAATAATGTAATATTCGTTTGGTTCAAAGTGTAAAATTCCTCTCTAAATAAACAAAATAAAATTGTTCATATTTATTGCAGTTCAAACACAGGAAATAAATCACTCAGGGAGGTGTTATAAATAAGGTTAACATTAAAATTTCAATAAACTATATAGTTGCTCAGAATTAGCTGTGAATTAAATGTCGTATGTCGTTAACGGTCATTATTTTAAGTGCTGTTTGACTCATTAACAAATTTTAGGAGACAACCCAGATGTTCACATTACAAGCAAAGATAATTTCGATTATTACCATTTTCGGACACGTCGTAGTTTACTATTAGATATAAATTACTCAATAAGAAGCTACAACTAAGTGAAGGTGAGTGGACATTAAATTTTATTTTTGACATATGTGTCTTTTCATCAGTTAGCAGTAATCTCCCTGTTACGATTTTTTAATGACTCGACTGTAAAATAAAATTGCACAATGGTGGTTTAAAATGAAATTTTATATTTATCTACACCATGTGGCTTTATTTAAAAGAAAAATGTCTGCAGTTAAAGCTTTTTAAAATAATAATTGTTAACAAGAATTATCACTCGTGTGACGACACAAGAATACTTTGGTAAACAAGGAAAGTTCAGTTGGTAGAATAGCCGCCCAACGAGCGAAAGACATTTTTCCTCACTTACCAACCTGCATGAAAAATGAAAGAAGTGATCGATGGCGGTAACATAAAATCTTTAAATATTTTATGGGAGTAATTTATGACAATAAACTAGACATTAGAGGGAGGTATGAAGAACCAAGTATTTCTAACAGTATCTTCAACTTTCTCAAAGTAATTAACTGTTTATTTCATTAATTTATTTTTCCGGTGAAACACTGTTTTTTATATCATATGAGAATATGGAAATCAGGAAATAATAATAACAATAATGAAATATTTTTGTTTGATGTGATACTTACAATTCCATTGCACAAACTAACTGCAGATTTGTCGCCCCTGTAATAACATTTAGTGTCGTCGTCAAAAAAACCGAGTGGGTATGTACCATTTGCATAAGTTTCCAGTAGAGCAAAATCTTCAGACAAGAGATCAGAATTCGGGACTAGTTCAATTTTAAATTTCTTTCCTAAACTAGGTATTTCAATTTGCAAGTGATGAATGAAGTTGTTTTGTTCATACGGGGCACGCAAATGTGGATAAGTTATTGAAAATTTGGATCCTGCAAAAAATCATGGTGTTAGTATTTAGTGACTAAAGACAAAACACGGAACAGCTTCTAAAGTAAACAATGGAACTGCTAAGATGAGTTCATGCAATGTTTTAATTGCTTCCTATTCCTCAATTCTTAGAAACAGTGCCTGAACAAAGTGGTATTAGAACATTTGTTTACTCAATACTGGACGTCTGTGGCAAAGTCACTTGAGAAATATGTATTGCATAAATTTTATGAAACAATTTTTCTGACAAAAGTACCCTTTTGCCAAACAATAAATGATATCATGAAATTTTTTTTTTTTTCATAAATATTAGTTATTTAGTATTAATTAGTAAAATAAACGTCCGTTATTAATTGTTCGCAGTAAAAGTATATATGATTACATTTTATAAATTTACTAAACATCATTTTGGCTGTTTAACATTCTCAATTTGTGGGTTGTTGATAGTCCTTCGTCCGCTTTGGTGCATACATTTCGCCTAATACAATGCAATACAATGGAAGATGCCGCAAAAATTTAAATAGTGCTATAATATATAATATACACAAGAGTTTGCTTTATTGCTATTAGTATGCATACGACGAAGTTCGAAAAAAGTGCCGGATTTTACTAGCGGTCTCTAAATAAATTAATAAACATAAAGAAATCGTTTCTACAGCATGCTTACAATAGCATCAAAAGCTGTAATGTTGAAGAATTTAAAACTAATACACTTTCAGAACTAATTTTACCACTTTTAACGGGTAACGCTGTATAATGAAAACCTAATTATACCGCACATTTCACTTTGCTTATTGAATTCTTTGATGTCCGAAATGTGAACATAAACAATGAAAAAAATGTACCTCGTATAATACGTATAATTTTTTTACGGTCAGCATTGGGTATCCCCATTATCGGAGTGTAGATAATGTGTATTTCCCACATTTCTGAGAATTGCAAAATTATGAATTATTATTTTTTTACCAATTGTACCTATGGACAATCACGAATCACCTTTAAAGACGTCGAAAGATTTTGCAATGTTACGCACACCACTTGTTGAAAATTTATGAAATAAAATTAAGAGCTTTTCGTGAGAAATTCTGACCCAAAAGAGTGTTGTTTCATTCCACAAAAGTGAACGTGATTTTTCAAGGTGTTGGAAATGTAATTTAGTGTTCAAGGAAACCACGGCAGTAAAGCTAATATCGCTTTTAAGTTACTACGGCTACGTAGATCAGGAGGAGTTTTTACGACTTGTCACTCAAACATTCTTCGACCCCAGTAGAATTCAGATATAAGCGTCTATTAATATGCAACAAATTACCTGTAGAATTCACTGTGCTGTTGACTCTGATGGAAAAAGACTTTATTTTCTCTGATAAATTATGCAGCGTTTATGTAATGACTTCCTCAAAATTAATAGTTGCTTACAGTTTGAAAGTTTAGTTGCGAAAATCTTACACAGCTTTATACTCTGTAAACTAAACATATAAGCACTTACTAGACAACGGACGTTTTCGAATACCTCATCCCAGATGTTCTAATAAAATAGTTAATGATTATAGTAAAATTTTAGAGAAAATAGAAAATTTCAATAAAACTGCCATCAATATTTAAGTAAGTAATTTATTTAACTTATATGGCCATTAAAACTGCCAACATATGCACATATGCAATAATGTGCACAGAAACATCATTACTCTCTTAACAGCATATTATTCACGACAGAAAAAGTTGCAAATTTTCACTTCATTAAAAACATCAGTAAGTATTCTATAGGAAATCGTAACATTTTACCTGGCTCATATGTCACAATCTACAGAAATTAAAATAAAAACAATCATAGTTGCTCAGCATTTTTTAACGTATTGTATACGTATTCAGAGATTAGCTTTATTTGGGTAATATTACTGTAAACTGTTTACCCTTTTTGCTTCCCGAGTGGAAGACAGGGAAGCACCATATGTTCGAAAAAAAAAGTTCTCTAATTGGCTATGAAATTTATTTTTAAAATAATGATGTTGGCAACACTAACATGTTCCTTGTTCACTTTGACAGTTTCGGCCAAATCAAATGTCAAATAGCTATCGGATTACTATGAAGTTATGTGTACCTACTTTAAAATTATTTCACACTTTATTTGACCACTACTGTCAAACCGAACAAAGGACGCATTGGTGTTGCCAGTAAAGCTGTCAATCAATTTTACTGACACCACCATTAAAAGTGAACTAATAATAATTAATATTATTAATATTTGGACAGATAGGATATTTTTTTATAAAACATGAAAATAAATAATTAAACATGAACTCACAAATTACCACCATTAGTAATATAACTGAACCTTATCAGACAAAATCTTTTTAAAGTGATTTTTTCTCTTCGATATTACATCAAGAGTAAAAAAATCTTAACAAATTATAATTATAAGCCTGAAATAAAATTGTTCTCTTTAATTGGAATAAACGTCCATGACCTGGGTACTCGTAACGTTGTAACATGACCTCACGGTCGGAAATACAGATTTTCATGAAATTGTAAGCAGTTTCCGTTGAAACCATTCCATAAACTTTATAAAACTTGCCTTGTTTGTTTGATTTTGTTCCACAAATACGGTTTAAAAGAGAATTAAAAAAAAATCAAATCACGTATTTGTTTAATCTCACTTAACGATTTCAGTCAAAAATTCATCGAATAAAAACTCTCTTTTAACTAACATGTGTAAATGTGGCTTCTGTTTAAAGCTTGGGAACTTTTCGGTCTACTGAATTTGACAGTAATTTAAATTTACCGTCAATGTTTTCATTTGATGAAACAATTGCACTAGCCCATTGTTTTGCTATATAATTCACACGTTGGTTGAATAATACATCATGTGTAGCATAAAATTTTAAACATTGCCGAATAGGTTCGTTATTGGAATCCATTTCTAAATTCAACTAATTTAACTTATCATCTCAGTAAATCTAGTGGTGCTTTTATTATATGTTGCTATCAAAATAGAATGGTTTAAAAGATACATCAAGCATTCTATTTTATAGATTAATTCCTAAAACACACTCAGGATTTGATTGGCTTTCTAAGAAACAAATGAACTCAATTATAGTCAAAGAAATAAGTTTAGACCATCAAATTTTAAAGAATAATTAAACTTATTATCGTCGAAATTTTTATATGCTAATTCAAAATGCTAGTTATTTTTATTAATAAAGCGTATCACTGATGATCATAATGAATGTGTACAAACAATGGCCTACAAAAGAAAGAAGTTTGATTAACAATAACGTTAATTATTATTTGTTAGAAAATTTTATATTGATAATAAAATCGTTTAAAGAATGTTCACAGTCATGTTGTTGTGTAAACTGATAGAAAGACTGTCATTCAAATCATGCTTAAAATTAACGATTGTTTCATTTGTTATCAACAAGAAAACTAAAAGCAGAAATAGAATATTTAAACACAATGGCTTCTTTATTTCGAAAAATTGAAACAAAAATGTGCGACAGCAATGAGTTTCAAGAACAAGAAAAAATAAAATTAATTTCTGTGTGAGCAACACCAGGGGTCACCACAATTTAAATTAGTCAAGATTTACAATAACTTATTTATAGCTTTAAATTAGAAAATGTAAACTTTTTGCACAACTAACGAGTAGATCTTGACCGGTTACCATTGACCTATAATGATTAACGAACAAATGCACTACACACGTCACAACAATGAAATAACCATAATACCTGAGGTCACATTGCGCAAAACCGAAACCCACCTAATCGCAAATTCAACGCTATTCATATTTTATCTCCTAAAAATGTGTATTATTTTTTCCAACGGCTATCACAATGCTATTTGCAACAGTAACCTTACTCAACAAAAGATTTGCATGAAATCGTGTTAATTCGAAAGAAAATAGTGAATTTCGAGGTGTTTCTAATTTTTAATTAAACATCCGGAATTTATTTGAATTACATGGAGATTCGTGAAGAAATATGCTGTATTTGCAAGGACGGACAAAATTGTTCATTTCCAAGAAGATGTAATAACATTATCATAACAAAATTAAAACGAGCAACTATTGGATATAGTCACGTATATTTTGCGCAAAAGCAGTGAAAGTGAAATGAGCACTTTTTGATACCATGTCGTGACCGAAACGGAACTGAACACTGACAATTTGTGAAACTTTCTTTAGTTCTGAATCAAAAAAGTTTAATTTTAATTTTAAATTTAATCATAAAGTACAATGACCCTTAAGTTTCGTATTACTTATAGCAAAATGTTATGAACAGTGATTATGTGTGGTAGATATTCATACTTATTTTAAGAATGCAGTCAACAATTTTTTATAGTCATCTACAGCATAAGTGAATTTCTACTTAAATGCTAATGAAATAGAGAGTTACTTCAATAGAGCAAAACGAACGCATGTAAGAACTGATTTATGCACAAGTTAAACTTTCTTGTTATTGTTATATTTGTTTCGTTTGCTTTGACTTTTTTCATGCTCGCTTAGAAACCTTCAAACCTCTTTTCTAACAAAGAATCTATGTTTTATAAAATTTTCATTATTATATGCGGTGCTATTCACGACAGAAATAGACTAGTAAAATCAATATCTGCAGCTCACCTGAATCTGAATTTCCTATGATTGATTGCCACTCGATTTCGGTTAATAACCCTTTTAAATTCTTTTCCGTTATCTGAAAATAAACCATTAATTAGTAAATGCAAATTTATTATATGAAGGCAAAACTTATTTACCATGGCGCAGAGTTTAATACTCCTATATTATTACGTATCTATACGTATTGTTTCACCTAATTGTAAGATTTACCTGTTTTCTAAGGCAAGACATAAAATGCGAAAAGTATAAGAGTGTCAAAATAGTACAGTGGATAATGAGTAATTACAATGCGAATAGTATTCTTTTGTAGTGTGGTTTCATTCTTCCAATATACCAATGAATATTAATAAGAAAGGCCCACGTGTAAAGCCCTGTGGAACTCCTCACTCGATATCTACATAACTATTCAAAGTGCGACAAATGCAAGTATTCTTATGTAATATCTGCAACATATCCACAGTGCAGCAATGCAGTGTCATAATAATTATGTAAGTACAACCAGGATTCACATAAATATTTAATTTATTGCATTCTAGGTGAATGGAAGAACTGATGATCAAACTACGCCATAAAAACGGGTGAATCTAGTACATTAAAACTAAAGCAGAAGTCGACCGGTTTTTAAAGTGGCAGTAGGATTACAGTAAAAATATCAACTCCTGTTAAATAATATTCTTTTTTATTATGTAAGTGATGTTTGGGAATGAACATCTGGGTAGGATTGAGTTGAAGATGAGACAAGCTGCAGTGAAAGGAGAGTCAGATGCAAAATGCCAACCGGCCTTTAGTAGATTCTACGACAACTGGTCGCAAACAATTGATCGCGCGACAATTGATCGCAAGCAACTCGTCGCAGCACAATTGGTCGCACGCGACAATTGATCGCGGCGACAATTGATCGCAGCGACAATTGATTGCACGTAAATTGATCGCAGCGACAATAGATCGTACGTAAATTTATCGCAGCGTCAATTGATCGCAAGGTAAAATTAATCGGGAAGTATTTTCTTTTATTAAAACTAAATATTTTGTATTCTGAATTTTAAGTTGCAATAAATTTAGCAACCAGGTAAGGTGTAAATATCGAATTAAAAACAATTTTAATATAGATAAGTGACGAAGTTTGTAGTTGCACTTTAAAAATTAAAAAATGCGAGCGTAAACACCTTGTTACATAAGATTTTTTATTAATAAATTGTCATTTTGGTTATTTTTTTTAAGAGATTGTTTCTATTTATCTCGTTTCTTATTTTACCTATTATATTATAGGAACTAGCTTCATTATAATAAGTACTCAACATAAAAACAAGTGTTTATTGTTCTTAACTAGATTACAGTTATTTAAAAAATCATATTTTTAACAACCTTTAAATTTTAACACATGTTGATACAGAATTGCCTCTATTGTCTATTCTTGTCTTTATACATATCACCAAACAATAAAATTTATGAACTAATAGTACATCTAGAGTATCCATATGCAGCGAATATAAATTCCACTGGACGGATATATAATACTTATTTTAATACCTTGTAAATTGCAACGGATCTTTTACAGGGTTTGAGAAAGGTTTACGTGTATTGTAAATATATATTGCAAAAACTTTTGTTAGAGCGTCAAGAATAATTTTGTGTTACCGGGAAATCTAAGAAATGTAGGTACTTATGCAACTAAAAACTTATTTTTTAATTATTATTATGTGACTAGTATTGTACTGAAGAAAAATTCAGTTGTACCATATGTGGGTGTAAAAAATACATATACAGGGTTAGTCACAAGAAAATTATTTCTGAAAATTATATTTACGCAACCCAAAATACGAATACCATGTACCACTCGATACTAACAGAATTTAAAATGAAATGCTTAATTCATGATTGCTTTGAGTTTGGCAGTATCATTTTGACAATTCTGGAAAAGGAGGTTACGCGAGTGTCCATGGTGGTACCGCAGCCAATTGGAGATCTCCGCTAGCGCCGCTAATAAGTTTGTCAGGGCTTGCTTCGAGTGCCTCTTGATCTTTTGCAACCGATTAATGACGAGAAAATTATTTCTAAAAATTCCTTTTACGATAGATATTTCTGTGACGTGTAAAACAGCTCTCAGATCTAAAAAAAAGGAAGAAATAATTGGTTCGCAGTTTTCCATGAATGACCCTACTACGGGCTGCTACCTGATTTTATTCTTCTTTGCACTTTGCATCCTACAAAAATTTACAACATGGGCTGGAGAAGCCCACCTACATCCGGCAGATTAGGCAAATAATTCTGAGTGAATAGTCGGCCTTCCGAGTGAAAACTTTTCAAACTTCCCAAGCTAAAAATTAGTCACGCCATTGCGAATAACCACTACTCAGTGGCGTCGTCATCCTGGTTGTTTGTACTTTTTAATGGTATTCACTGTTTGTATTACTTGTTACTCGTGATGTGTTGATTGATTTAAATATATAATATTAATTAATAGAGAATATAAATCTGTTATGTGCGTTGTTTTATTCAACAAATTTTATTCCATGAGCCGCAACAAAAAAAAAAAAATTGTACGTCACTGTCATCGGCAGTCTTATCTGGGTAATGAGGGGTACTGTTTATGACACTTTACCGGTTTGGCTCGAAACCATCATTTTAAGTCTGGCACTTCCTCCAGTATGAGTATATTCCTTTGCTCCATGGTCAAAACTAATCTTTTTACGATCTTGTTTACAGAAATGGCGTAAAAGTGGAGATTGGTATGTAGGTACTTAGCAAAGGGAACGAGATAAATTATTCATTCTGTCGTATCTACAAGCGCCTTATTTGTTAATAAGCGTGTGAGCGTTCAAAAAAGTTCTGAATGAAAAAACATCTTTGGTTTTATCATGGATTAAAGATAATCCAGAACTAATTTGTAGTGAGCAAAAAATTGTCTGCAAAGAATGCAATAAACTCCAAGATTAATTGTTAATATATAAATTAAAATTTCTTTGCAGCAAATTTATTAAAAAATATAGGTATATATTTAATTTTTTAAACTATCAAACGTAAGGAAAATAATACTTTTTCACTTAAAACTGTAACGAGAGTTTTTTCACGATTTATCTATAACTTTTTAATTTGACAGTTGTAATAATTTTAAAACCATTTTTTATTAAAGAAAAATGACGTCTAACACGTTTTGAAAGCTATTTTTTTCACTCGTTTAATTGACAAACTTTAAACTTGTGAGAAGAAAAGCTTGAATCACTTACTTGAGCGTTTAATCAATAAGACGAATAATCCAAATGAACATTACAGTAGCATACCGACGAGATGTGTCAGCATTAAAAAAAATATTTTACAATATTTTCACTTTTTTGCACTTTGGTTTAGTCGGAAATGAGCCTAATAGTTACCGTTTTTATGGAACTCGTATGTATTTATTTTGACACTTTTTTTAGAAATAATGAAATTTTTGAGAATATAGCACATTAATTTATTTTCCTCATTCATAACAATTACTTATTTCTCTATAAACGCTATCATTTTTCGCCTGCGATCAATTGTCGCATGCGACCAGTTGTACTTGCGACGAATTGTGTTGCGATCAATTGTGACTGCGACCAGTTGTCGTTGCGACCAGTTGTCGCTGCGACCAATTGACGCTGCGATCAGTTGTTTGCGATCAATTGTCGCGCGACGAATTGTGCACGACGAATTGACGCGGTACCCCTTTAGTAGTATTATTATTATGATTGGTGTAAATACTTCGGTGATAATAACAATAATTAACAAAATTAATATTTTTTTTACAATACTGCCATTTTAAAAGTTGCCCCGGTCACGTAGTTTCAGTGCAATAGGTACTGTACACACCCGTCAATCCCGTACTGGGTCGGCATGAACATCGTAAATGTCACATGGTGTGACCTACATAAATCGAATAACCGATACATCGGTTATTTTTTTATTTTTTAATTGTTGAAGTGAATGAACCCGTGGTAGCATCAGGTTTGTGTTTAACATCTCATACAATTTGCTGTGACGCTAATGTGGTGTTAGTTTTCAAGAAATTCTAAAACATTTAACACCTGATTTGAAAAAAATATGGCCTTAATGTAAAAAGTATTAATTGTGAACAGGGCCAGAGCAATTGAGTTCACGATTTATACGATACACGTGTAATTTTATGACATTCATTCAAATAAAATGCTCTAGATTCTAGATATTTACAGACTTGATACAATATTGAACATGAACACTGTTGACGTATTACTTAAGGTAATGATAATGAAACTTATGGGGGTTAATGCTGCGGTCAGTAGTAACGTTCTGCTTTCTAAACTGGTAAACCCTACTTAACGAAGTTCTATTTTTTTAGATAAATTGTAAAATTTGTTCCTTAAATTTTACTTATTTCGTTTGCGATAACTCTTATGTCTTAAAGTAAAAGTAGGTAAAGAAGCATGCCATGGTTAATAATGATAATTGACAACTAACTAAATGTCAAATGACGATCATTTAAAGAAGATGGCATGTTTTTATTTAGTGCGACAACGGTAACATAATTATAGTAAAGAATGTTATAAAAGGAATGTCATGAATTTTTTTGAGTCACCCTGTATATGCAAATCCGAAAAATATGAATGGAATGATAAATTACAAGTACAGACTCATCATATTTTGTACAATTTAGATAGGATTTATTCGGCAAAATTTTGTCGTACCTTAGCAGCTACTAGCCCCGCCCACCCACCCTCTCTTTTCTTAGAAGATAAGGGGGTAATTTCAAGTTGGATTTGCGAAATCGCAAGTGCCGTTGCTATGGTAATTTGGATGACATCTTGGCAACGAGGACTTGCGAAATTGCAAATCCAACTTGAAATTGGCCCGTAAGTCATTTGCCAAAATCAGTTTTATATTAGCAGTTACAAGCTAGGATAAGACTGATTTTGGCTGCTGAGATATCTTCTAAGAAAAGAGAGGGTGGGTGGGCGGGGCTAGTATCTTCTAGGATAAGACTGATTTTGGCAAATGAGCTATTTTCTAAGAAAAGAGAGGTTGCGTGGGGCTAGTGTCTTCTAGGATAAGACTGATTTTCGCAAATGAGCTATCTTCTGA